GCCAGCGGGATGGCCTTCTCCTGGATCAGCGTGGGTCGCGACCAGCCCAGGTCGGCGACGGCCTAGGAGACACGACTCGCGGCTCAGCGCGCCGCCCCTCCGCCGCCCCCAGCCCCGCTGGCCCGGCCGCTCAGCCCTCCCCGGTACCTGCAGGAGCCGGGGGTCGAGGCCCATGTGCTCGAAGCCCAACGCCTCCGGGTCCGCCATGCTGCGGCTCTGCGGGGACAGCGCGCACGCGAGCACGGCAGGAAGGGCGCCACGGCTCGTGGGGCGCCGCCACCAATCAGCTTCGCAGGCACCGCCCCCTCCCGGAAGTGCTGGAGCCTGGGCTTCCGGCGGCCGGCGGGGTTGTGCGGCTGCGCAGGTGCGCGAGCCCGGGGTCTCGGGGGAGGCGGGGCCGGCGCCGGCCGCCGCGGCCTCTCGGGCACGGTCACTGCTCACGGCTCTCCCTTGCTTCACCGCGCTTCCCTCAGCGGCTCTTGCGGTGACCTACGACGTGCGGTGCCCGGCGGGCCGGCCCTGGGGGTGCCAGCACGCGGTCCGGGGGCACGGGCGGGCGGAGCTCGAGAGACAGAGGTGGGCTGGCCTGTGGCTGCCCGTCGGCCACCGGAGCAGCGTAGCTAACAAGGACTCGGTCCTCAGCCGTGTCGGCTCGCTGTCGCGGCCTCGCCGGTCACCACGGGCCCAGCGGCACGAAGCGGCCCAGCTCCTCTGCTGTGGTTCCGCCGCTGTCCTGCAAGGTCTCGCGGGGCTCCTGTCGTCCTGGAGACCCGGAGGGACGCTTCCTCCCTCGCCTTCCCCGTTGCCTGCGCCCCACTTCTTCCTCCGAGCCAGCGCCAGAGGCCGGAGTCCTCACGTCCCACCACGGCGACCCCTGGCCGCCACTTTTCACAAACCTAGAGATGACCCTACGCTCGCCCAGCTAGGCCGAGACCATCTGTCTTAGAGTCCGTCCGTAGCAACCTTCGTTCCCTTTTGCCTAGAGCCGGAGACGAGGCCTCGCCCCCCACGCGTTTTGCAGGAAGGTTGTGGTACAGTCTAAGCAAGCAAGAATTCCAGAACAGAACTAAGGTAGTATTGGGAGGAATAACAGAATTACCTCAACGTAGCCAAACTGGTTTCTAAACGCAACTTCTCCCGACCGTGGAGTGTCTGTGGATGTCACATGGCAGCGTGGAAGTCCTCCCCACAGCCGCCACCTGCTGGCCCATCCTCCCGCCATCCGTTCCTACCTGCCCCAGCAGTAGGACAAGCGCTCCTTCCTGTCAAACCTTCACAGGGGAAACCTGGACCTTGGGAGCTACTGGCAGAATCAAGATGCACTGACTTGTGCCTACAGCTGGACAGACCACCAAAGGCTGCAGGGTTGCCTGCCCTCCCATAGCCCACCAGAACAGCCACGGTGGCAGAGACATGTTCCCTGCCTGACCTGTCCCGTAGTTCCTGGGAAGCTCAGGCCAGAGGCCCACGCGGCTAACCATCTCACTTCCTCCAGGTTCATTCTAACGTGAGAAAACTGAAAACCATCCTGAATATCCAGCTTTAGAGAAGTCAGTTAGGGTAATTTCACCTCGCTGGACCATTAGCCATCCAGAATGAGACATAGGAGGAGCACCTCGTTTTTAAAATACAAAGATATTAAATGATAGAGCCTAGAAACAAACTTGCATGTATTTTTATGGGTAAAAATAGGTACATATACAGAGCAGTTTAGAACATGGAGAAAAAGACTTTGCTCTGTAGGTCACATAAGCAATGTGTACTAATACGGATGACAAAACCCTAGAGAAGCAAGGGCAGTCGGTTTTAATATGGCAGAAGGGCAGTGTACTAAGATGCTTCAGTGTAAGTCCAAACAGGTGCTTCATCGCCTCACATGACTCCCTGCTGGTGGGTTCTCGGGTGACCTCTGTGAATGGCCAAACCCTGGCAGCATGAGGCCCCCCTGCGGACGTCCTACCCACTGAAGGTCAGCACAGTAGCCCAAAAGTCTGGGGCCTCTCTTCCACCCCGATCTGTGCTTCCCGTCTGCCCACAGCCTCTTAGTTCACTTCAAACACAGCTACTACAACACATTTTATTTCACTGGAAAAATCTGTATGAAGAACCAAATGTGGTTCCTGTGAAGAAACATTTAGCACAGCTTAAATAAAAGTGAAGAAAAGAGGGAGGGGAGGAGGGCCCTGCCTGTTCTAGTTCTGCCACCAACACTCTGGGGCCCCAAGGGATGGAAATCCCCAGTGTCCCAGGGAGTCCCTGCTCGGCCCTCTCGGAAGGCCCTGAGAGCACCTGTGGTGTCTGCAAGCTGCAGTGGCCCTTAGCAGAAACGTACAGGTACACAGAAAGCAGACGAGGCCACGCTGGTGTTTTCAGCTAGTCACACACAGGCAGAAACACTTCAACTAGGAAGTAAAATATATATAATTTATCAAAAAATAGTTCTAATATATAGAAAAAAGATTTCAATCCGCTGAGGCCTCTGCCCCCCTTATTTACATTCACAAAGCCACTGAGCAAACCCAGGACTCAAGAGGGACAGTGAGGCAGGGCCTCCCTGGTGGGGCGTTTCAGCCGCCTACTGCCTAAGTAGACGTAAAGAGAGAAGTTAAAGGAATAGCAGAGACTTTTTTCACTTGCTCTTTTTGTAAGAGGAGGAGGGGAATCACTGCAGATGAAACAAGGCAGACTTCATCCGGGGTCAGTTTCGATTCTGAACAAACCCCAAAACAGACCTTTGAAAACCTGGACCAATGTCCTGGGTCCTTGAGAACCAGTGTGAGCGAGTGGCTGATGTGAGCGCTTTGTTGCTATGGAACCGATGTGGCTTGTATTCTTTTTTCATTTTCTTTCCCTCAAAATCCAGGTGGATACGGTATTGGGTGGGGAAAGTACGAAATAATCGAGGTGAAGGGGAGGGATCGTACGGAGAGGATACTACACCAGCTTCTTGGCCTCAAAGAAGCTTTTGAGGTGACGCATCTGCCAGATTCCAGTGAGGATGAGAATGACCGTCTGAGCGATTGACCACCACAGGACCCTCTGGTTGGTGCTCTCGCTGGTGAGACGGAAGCGCTCTTCGCGATACTGTGTAGGACAACAGGCTGGGATTAAACGTGCAGGACAGGTGGTCCCCGCTGTTGTGAGGCCCTTCCCTGCTGTGCGAAATTCAGCTTCAGGTCCAAATGCCTCCTGAGACGCTGCCTTGGATTCCGCGGGGAGTGCCCCGGGAGAGTGCCACGCGCTCCGCCACGACCAGCTCTGCCAGGCTGGGAGCAGTGCTCCATGCACTTCAGTCTGCAAAGCTTGGAAGCGGCCAGGCACACGGACACCCTCCACCCCATTCTCTGAATAGCTGAGCTCCCAAGCGGGGAAGGCCTTAAACAGAAACTTCCAGGGGGCATGGCGGGCACAAAGGTCATCTGCCACGTCCGAGTACGGTCCTACGCATGCTTACCCTCTGGTAATCCTGCTCCTTCTGGATCTGCTCCACCTGATCAAGCAGCTGGCGGGCTCGGAGCTGGAGCTCTGTCAGCTTGTCCTTGGCGGCGATCTCGGGGTAGTTGTTGGCGTGCTCCCCAACCTGGATGTCCAGGTGCACACGCTGGAAAGACACGGGGTGGAGCCCCAGAGCCCCAAGGTCGGAAACCCTCGGATTCTCCGTTACAGGTTGGGGAACCTATTCTCGTCCCTAGCAGTGAGACAGAAATGCTACACCTATCTCTGATTGTAACTGTGTCCCAAAGTGTCCCAAATGACGGTGGCTGTTAGGTCAGAACTCGGCAGAATCAGGGGAAAGATTCTGAGCTCTGGCCAAAGAGGCAATCCTCTTACCAGTCTGCCTCCAGCGAAGAGAGCCATCCTGGTGGAGTTTGAGTGCAGGCAGATCTGATGGTCACCGGGTGTGTGGGAGGTGAAGGTGAAGCGGCCCTCGGAGCCGTACTGCCGGGACAGCACCACCTGCAACGGGACACACCGTGACAGCCCCCACCTGCACGGTGCCCTGTCCTCGGAGCCCTGCACGGCCCAGAGAAGTCGGGGGAAGCGTGGCCTCGTGGAGGCTGCAGGGCGCCCGTGCGAGCACGACCAGCAGTGGCCCTACCTTGCCTTCGGGATCCTTCACCTCCACATGCATGCCCAGGCCGGGGGTCGAGGGCAGGAAGACTTCCTTCTGCTTGTCCCACATCTGGGTGCGGTAGTTCCCTGCGGAGCAGACACAGCAGTCACGACCCGCCTGCTCCGGCCGGCTCCCACACTCCGCGGGGCGCCGTGGCCGCGTCTCGGGGACACACAGGGCCCCGTCCTCCCTCGCCCCGCCTGACCGATGACCATGGTCTCGTCGGGGATCTCCTCAATGAAGCAGCGCTTCTCGGTCTCGCCGATGTGGAAGTAGAGCCCTCGGGCGCCGGCGGCGCACAGCGCGAGCAGCAGCAGCTCCGGTCGTCCCATCGCCCGCCGCCACCCGCCCCGACACCTGCCAACTCGCGCCCTCCGCCCGTCGCGCATGCGCGCGCCTGCGCCCCAGTCTGGCCGACGCCACAGAGCCGAGCGCAGAGCGCGCATGCGCCATGACGCTCGCGCTGCGTCCGTCTGGCTCCGCCGCTAGGCCTGGCCGAAAGGAGAGTACGCATGCGAAGGACTCAGGGATCCCTTCGTCGCTTTGCGGGAGACGATACTTCGTCCGACACCTACCTGCGCCTCTTCTCCCCTGCGCGCATGCGCAAGCCTGCGCCTGGCTTCCAGGAGAGGCTGCATAGCCGGGCTCCGGGCGCCTATGTGGCGATTAGCTCGCGACCCGCTCCTCCGCGGGCGGGACGTGGTGGGGTCTCGCACTGGAGACGGGGCGTGGGGTCGTGGGGTCCCGCGCGGGGGAAGGAACGTGGGGGCGTGGGGTCCAGCGGGGGGACACAAGGGATCCCATCCAAGGGGTGGGGCGTGGGGAAGGGACGTTGGGAGGAGGAGTCCCAGGCGGGGAAGGGAGCGTGGGGGCGTCGGGTCCAGCACTTGGGAAGGAGCCGGGAGAGGAGGGGTCCCGCGCGGAAGGTGGGGCGGGGGCTGCCCGAGCTGGTGGGGCTGTGTCACTCGGAGTGGTGACCGCCACGCGTGACCTCTGACCCGGCTGTTGTGCTGGAATTTCCTGACCCTTGCGTGGGAGGGACTCACTGGGTGCGGGGCAGGGGGTTGCCAGGTACCGCACTGATGGTAAAGGAGATGTGGTGGGCGTGGCACGGGGACTAATGAAGAAAAGCGTCCCTTCCTCAAGTTTTTACTAGACTCTGCAAGGCGGAGCGTGTGGTCGAGTCCATCTTATTTTGTCCCCGCAGGCCCCGTGGTTTTCTACCAGCCAGTCAGACTGAACTACTCTCTGTGTCCTAGGTGAGGGCTGAGGACCTGTAGGGGCCCCCGGGAGGTGCAGCGTGCCTATGCTGAGAGCCGTCCTTGCAGAAAAGCGCTGTAGCGGGGCTCTGGGTGCTCTGGGCATGGCTGGTGTTGCGTGTGCTGCTGTGTATCCTGTAAGTTCTGGTTCTGAGCCAACACAGGTATCCTGGGGGATCAAAGAAAGTCATTTAAAAGGGAAGCTTCCCCAGTAGTTGTGTGAGGACCCAAAGCCTGTTTAAAGCCCTCTTCTTCAGAAGCTGTTAACTCCCTGATTTTTAAATACAGGCATTTAGCTCACTTCCTTCTAATGGGATGGACAATAAATAATCTTCGGCCACCTTCTGCGGTCTGATCCCAGTTCGGATCTGAGGGACGGGCTTGGGATAACTGACTCGACCCATGCGCTGTTGCAGCCCCTCCACCCCCGCTTCCGTTGCACTAAGCACTGCAAAATGAGACTGAAAATCTGGGCTAAAAAAAACGGAGGGCGAGAATGAGGGAAACAGAATGAGTAGGGTCATGGGTGCGTTTGTCTCTCCTAGTTAGAGCACCCCCTTCTCTGGGATGAAGGAAGATGAACACCAAGCCAGGACATTGTTACTGGGCATAGAATCACAGTAGCGCTTGGTTGAAAACCTTAAATTTTTTTAAAGAGAATTCCTGAACACACATCAAGAGAGAATAGTTACAATGAACTTTGATATACTCATCACCCGCCTTCAACAAAAATCAGTTTCTTGCCTGCCTTGTTTCATTTCTTTGGCGTGTTTTCCCTGAAGTATATGAAACTGTGTCCAGAAATGATGTATGTCCAGAAAAAAAAAACAAAAACCCACATCATTTCACCTAAAAATACTTGTGTCTCTAATAGACAAGGACTTTTTAAAAATACCATTTCCACATCCAACAAAATTAAACAGTTCTGTTAATGTCATGTAACACTTAGCATATGTTCAATTTCTCCTCGTTGTCTCAAAAAACTTCAGAATGCTTAAATCAGGGTCCAAACAAGGTAAAGTCAAGCCGTTCAGGGACACAGCTCCTCACTCTGTTTGTTGTTGATGCTGATGGTGCCATTTCCTACTGAGGCACCGAGATCACCCGACCAGTAGAATCCACGTTCTGGACTGGGGGTTTGTATCTTAACATGTCACTTCCCATTTATCTCTTGGTCACTGCTGTATCCTGTAAACCATTATATCCACAACCAGGGAGGATTTGCAATAAAACTAAATGTGTCTGCATACATTTCAATCATTACCCCTTTTTAATGTTCAGATCGTCTCGTAAGATGTCCAAGTGCTCTGCGCCCTTTTAACACAACTCTGGTAGTCTTTACTGGCTCCCTTGCTTTCCACTTTGCACACTGCCTGCCCTACACACAAAATCTGCCATTCGGGGGTGCCTGGGTGGCTCACTCAGTTGGGCGTCTGCCATTGGCTCAGGTCATGATCCTGGGGGCCTTGCTAGGGCTCCCTGGTCGGTGGGGAGTCTGCTTCTCCCTCTGCCCCTCCCCCTGGCTCATGCTCTCTCTCTGAATTCATTCTAATAAATAAAACCTTTTTTTAAAAGTCTACTGTTTACCTAAAGGATCTTGATTCACTTTGGTGAGAAATGGTATTCATAGTTCTAATTTTGTTGTTTTTTTTCTTCAAGAGGACCCTAAATTTGTCCTAATTGATGGGTAATCTTAAAGAGATTGCATTACTCACAGGAAAAAACCTATGTTAGGTAATCGAAATCCCCAGGCCTGAAAACTTTTCCCCTCGAAGATGGTGGGCAATTTCTGCCAACGTTACCTAAGCCAGCTGCCCCCTCATTCAGTCAATATCTATGAGCAGCTACTGTGCCGGTGTTTTAAACCCTGGGGACATAATGGTGAACAAAACACAAAAATCCTTGTCCTCATGGGTTTATTTTGGTTATCACCCTTTGGTTATCACACACTCTATAGCATGCCAGAGGGAGAAGGTGTCAAGGAGAAAAATTAAGCAGGGAAGAGGTTAGGGAATGTAATGGGTTGAATGGTGCCCCCACCAAAGACAAAAGATCGACGTTGAAATCCCTGGAACCCGTGAATGTGACCTGCCTTGGGGTCTTCCCAAATGTAATTAAGGACCTGATGTGATAATCCTGGATTATCCTGGACCCTAAATCCAGTGACCAGGGTCTTCACAAGAGACACAGAGGCACCCACACACCCACAGAGTGGCTACTGTAAAAAGCAAATAGAAAATAACGATCAGTGAGCATGTGGAGAAATCAGAACCTCGGGAGCTGTGGGTGGCATCATAAATGGTGCAACCACTATGGAAAATAACATGGAGGCACCTCGAGAAATTAGAACTACCATATGACCCAATCATTCCACTGCCTGGTAGAGCTCTAAAAATCTGAAGACAGGACCTCGAAAAGACACCTGCATGCCCACGCTTACAGAAGCACTATGCACAGCAGCCGAGAATGGAAGCACCCAAATGTCTATCAATGGATGAACAGAAATCAAAAGGGGTACAAACGCACCACTGCATACCATTTAGCCTCGAAAAGGAAGGAAATCCCGCACCGAGCCACAGCACGGATGAACCCTGAGGTCAGCGTGCTAAGGGAAATACGCCAGTCACAAAAAACAAATAGTGCATGATTCCACTTACAAACAAGACGGTATCTAAAGCAGTCAAATTCGTAGAGACCGAGAGTAAGGTGGTGCTGAGGGAGGGGGCTTGTCTAATGGGCACAGAGTTTCCGATCTGTACGATGAAAACAGTTCTGGAGAGCTGTCCCATGAGGTGCCTGTCACTGAACTGTGTAGGCTTGGAAGAGCGAGCTGCACGGATAAAAGGACTCGCCACGCAGCCCAGAGCCAGACACTGCAGCCACAAGCCAGGAATGCCTGGATCAGCCAGAAACTGGGAGACCCACAAGATGATCTCTCCCAGAGTCTGTGGAGGGAACACGACTTAGCTGACATCTGGATTTTGGACTTCTACTCTCGAGATGCGTAAGAGAATAAATTTCTGTTGCCTTCACCCATCCTGTTTGGTTAATTTGTTATGGAGACCAACACAGGGAAGGTCTGGTTAGAAGCGGGGTGGGGTAGAGCGCAGTGGCCAAAGAAGGCTCATCAAGAAGGCGCCCTGTGAGAGAGGTCCTGGAGGGCAGGTCACGTGGCTACCCGAAGAGCTGTCATGAGTTGAACAAGGTCAAGGAGGCCAGTGTAGCAGGAGGCACAAGCATGGGAGGGAAGCAGGAGGAAATGAGGTCCTAACTGGGGGCGGGAGAGTTGGGTGGGCCTCTTAAGGCACTTTAAGGACCCTGGCAAACGAGTGAGAACCCCTTAGGGGATTCTGAATGAGGAATGACGTGGTTTGACTCAGATTTTAAAATTCGGATCCTGTCCAGGCAGCGGATGACCATGTAAAAGAACAGGAACACCGGAGGATCAACGGATCAGAATGCTGTTGTAAGTTAACGTTCAGCCTAAATCAGGTCTTTTGTTCCATCTTGCAGTTCACAGGAAATTCAGAAGTTCAAGTACGCCATGAGGAAATAACAAGGCAAATCCAGAATATGGAACAGTTGGCTTCTACCTCCCAAACACTGAAGTCAAGAAGAAAAACAAATGTGGGGGAAATGTACTTAAAAACTGAGCTGGCAAGAAAGGACCAGAGGTGTGCAGTACTACACAAGGCATGTAGCCGCCCCTGGGTCTCGGTGTTCTAGAACTGATGTGGGAAACAAAGGCAGAAGAAAAATTATTAAATCTCCTGACTACCTACAGCCCACTGACAGGAGGGTGCACAGACCCCCACTTTCCCTCCCTGGGAACCCGGCAGACATGAGGCTGGGTTCCAGGAAGATATCCAGCGTGCATTATTAAGTTAAGAAAGCAAGTGTGCAGTAGCTGGAAAACGTCAGCGGTTACTTAGAATAACGCGAGTATTCGGCAGTATGGCTGTACTGGCTAAAATAAATAATTCTTTCCTGGTTGCTACATGGCCGTGCCCCACGTACTGGACTCCCTCCCTCTCTGCTGTCTACCCGCCCCCCCCCGACTGCCCCTGAACCCGACGAAGAGTTGCTGCCAGCATGGATGGCGTCCGACAAGCCAGCAGACAATGAAGTGGATGGTAACGGGGGGCCAGGAACACTTTGAAAAGCAGACCTTGTAATACGCTACTGATTTCTGAGCTATGTGAATATGGCCCCTATTTCATAACATAGAATTCAAACCCTGAAGCAGCGCTTCCACCATTCTGTTTTCTGGATTCCAGTGGCTGTCAATTGCTAGCTTATTGGTTTGTCCTAGAATGTCAGCTCCGTGACAACATAGGTCCTGCCCATCTTCCGGGTTTGCCTCTACCCCCAGAACCTCAGCTCAAACTGGTATAAACATTCTTGAATGAAGGCAGAATGTACAGTTGATGAAAAAGCACACTGAGCAAAAGCCGTAGGATGCAGTGAAGGCAGTGTGCGGAGGAAAACGCACAGCTGCCAATGTCTACATTAAAGCAGAAGAAAAAGAGCAAATCAGTAACGTACATTCAAAGTGTACTTTGAGGGGGGCCTGGGTGGCTCAGGGGTTTAAAGCCTCTGCCTTCGGCTCAGGTCATGGTCCCAGGGTCCTGGGATAGAGCCCCATGTCGGGCTCTCTGCTCCGCAGGGAGCCTGCTTCCTCCCCTCTCTCTCTGCCTGCCTCTCTGCCTACTTGTGATCTCTCTTTCTGTCAAATAAATAAATAAAATCTTAAAAAAAAAGTGTACTTTGAGAAACTAAAAAGGAATCAAAAAAGAAGAGCAAACTAAACCCAAAGCCAGAGGAAGGAAAGAACAATGAAGATTTAAATAGAGATAAATAAAACAGACTAGGAAAACAATAGTTCATAGAAGCAAAAGTTGGTTCTTTGAAAAGATCAACAGCACTGATAAATCTGCAGTTCGGTTGACAAAGGAAAAAAGAGAGAAGACATAAATCACTAACGCAAGAGATGGGAGGTAGAGACACTACCACTGACTTTACAGAAATAAAAAGGGTAAGAAAGCACTCTGACCTGCACACCAGCAAGTAGGGTAACTTAGATGAAATCCCTAGAAACACACAAGAGTACCCAAAGCAGAAGGCTCAGGACCAGATGCTTTACTGTTCAATTCTACAAACGTTTACAGATTTATCACCAATCCTACCTAAACTCCCCTGACGAACTAAGGAGGAGGGAACACTTCCTAATTCATTCTATGAGGCCAGTATCACACTGATACTAAAGCCAGACAAAAGTTATCACAATGAAAGAAAACTAGACCAGGGTCGCCTGGGTGGCTCAGTGAGTTAAGCGTCTGCTCAGGTCATGATCTCAGGGTCCCGGGATCCAGCCCCGCATAGAGCTCTCTGATCAGCAGGAAGCCTGCTTCCCCCTCCCCCTCTGCTTGCCTCTCTGCCTACTTATGATTGATCTCTCTGTCAAATAAATAAATAAAATCTTAAAAAAAAAAAGAAAACTAGACCAATTTCACTTATGAATATAGATGAAAAAAAAAACTCAACAAAATACTAGCAAATCCAAGAGCACATTAAGAGGACTGTACATCATGGCCAGTGAGGATTTGTCCCATGCATGCAAACGTGGTTCAACAGAAGAAAATCAATGGAATAAATCACATTAATAAAATGGAAGGGAGAAAAATACATGATTACCTCAGCTGATAAAGAAATGGCACTTAACAAAATCAGACACCCTTTCACCATCAAAAACACTCAGAAAACAAGAAATAGAAGGGGACTTCCTCAACATGATAAAGAGCACCTACAAAAATCCCACAGCAAACATCAGACTCAACAGTGAGAGGCTAAAGTTTCCCCCTAAAATCAGGTACAGGCCAAGGAGGCCCATGTCCACCCCTGCCATTCAAGACTGTCCCAGAAGTTCCAGCCAGATCAATTAGACAAGAAACAGAAGGCATCCAAACTGGAAAGGGAGAAAAACTATATTCGCACATGATATAATCCCACATATGAAAGAAAATCCCAAAGAATCTAAGAGAAAGCTGCCAGGCCTAATAAAGAAATCAGAGGGGGCACCTGGCTCAGTCGGTTAAGTGGCTGCGTTCAGGTGAGGTCATGATCGCACGGTCCTGGGATCAAGCCCCACACTGGGCTCCCTGTTCAGTGGGGAGCCTGCTTCTCCCTCTCCCTCTGCCTGCTCCTCCCCCTGCCTGTGCGCTCCCTCTGTGTGTGAAATAAATAAATTAAAAAAAAAAAAAAAGGATTCAGTGAAGTTACAGGGCCCAATATCAGTACACAAAAATCAATATACCAGGAATAAACAATCAGGAAAAGAAATTAAGAAAGCAATTCTGCCTACAGATGCTTCCCAAAACACACTGGTAATAACTTTGACCAAGGCTCATGGCTTGTACATGGAAAAGTAAGAAGAATGGTAAAGGAAACTAAAGAAGACACAAATAAAGGGCAAGATAACCTCGGACTGAAGACGTGATATAGTTAGGATGTCAACACTACCCAAAGTGGTCTACTGATTCAACACAGTCCCTATCAAAATTCTAGTGCTGTTTTTTTTTTGTTTTTTTTTTGTGTTTTTTGCAAAAGTGGAAAAGCTAGTCCTTAAATTCATACGGAATTACAAGGGGTCCCAAACAGCCAAAACAATGTTGAAAAAGAAACAAAGTTGGAGAACTCACACTTACGGATTTCAAAACTTACTACAAAGCTACAGTGATCAAAACAGTGTGGTACTGGCATAAAGCCATATAGACCAACAGACTAGAATTGAGATTTCAGAAATAAACCCAAGAAACGTGGTGAAGTGAATTTCAAAGAGGATGCCAGGTCCGCTTGGTCAGGGAAGAATCGTTTCCTCCAGAGATGGTGCGGGGACGACTGGAGTTCTACAAGCGAAAGATGACGGCGAGGCCGGCCCTACCACACACCAAACGCCAAAACTAACTCTAAATGGATAAACAACCTAAGTATAAAGGCGAAGACCAGCCAACAGACACATGAAAAGATGCTCAACGTCACTGATCCAGGCATTTCGAGTCAACACCACCATGGGATGCCCCTTCACACCTGTTAAGTTAGCCATCATCACCAAGTCAATGAACAGGCGTTGGCGAGGAGAAAGGGAAACCCTCGTGCTCTGCTGGTGGGAATGCAAGCTGATGCAGCCGCTGCGGAAAACAGTGTGCAAGTTCCTAAAAATGTTAAAAACAGAACTACCCTATGATCCAGCAATTCTGGGAATTTATCCAAATGAAGCAAAACACCAATCTGGAGAGATATAGGCACCCCCTACATTCATTGCAACATTATTCACAACAGCTGAGATAACAGAAGCAACGAAAGTGTCCACGGATAGATGAACGGTTAAAGAGGACATGGGACCCACCTGTGCGTGTGCACGCACACACAGAGGAATATTATTAAATTAAAAAGAATGAGATCCCAGGGCGCCTGGGTGGCTCAGTGGGTTAAAGCCTCTGCCTTCGGCTCAGGTCATGATCTCAGTGTCCTGGGATTGGAGCCCCGCGTCGGGCTCTCTGCTCAGCGGGGAGCCTGCTTCCCCCTCTCTCTCTGCCTGCCTCTCTGCCTGCTTGTGATCTCTGTCTGTCAAATAAATAAATAAATAAAATCTTAAAAAAAAAAAAAAAGAAAGCAAAGACAACCTATGGAATGGGAGAAAATATGTGTAAATCATGGATCTGATAAAGGATTATAATCCGGAATATATAAAGAAATCCTCCAACTAAACAATGAGCCAACAACCCAATTCAGTAACAGGGAAAGTCTCCAACAGACTTTTCTCCAACAAAGATACACAAATGGCCAATAAGCACACAGAAAGATGCTTATCACTGGTCGTCAGGGAAATGCAGAGCAGTATGATGAGAATACCTCACACGTACTAAGGTAAAAAGCCTCGAATATTGCTGGTGGGAATGTAAAACGCTGTGGCTGCCGCAGAAGACCTGGCGTAGTTACCCCTGACCCCCCAGTTCCACTCCTAGGTACACTCCCAATAGGATCATAAACAAGTACTGTGCTCCACAGATCCTTGCAAGCCAGCGGCCACTGTAGCTCTAGTCACAGGGGCCAAAATGTGGGAACAAAGCAGACAAGGAAGGGATAGACAAGGTGCGGTGTATCCACACGGGGACTATTATCTGCTCATCAAGGAGGGGAGCCCTGACACCTACCACAATGTGGACGAGCCTTGAAAACGTGATGCTTGGTGCACTAAGCAAGGCCAAAAGAACAAATCCTGTATGATTTCACTTATATGAGGAACCTAGAGTCCTCAGCTTAGAGCGACAGAAGGTACAGCAGAGATTACCACGGGAGAAGAAAAGGGGAAGGCAGCTCATGGGATGGGGAGCTATTACTGAAAGGGTACAGACCTTCTGCCAGGGCTGTGAGCTGTGAAGAAGCTGCAGAAACAGCAGGGCGGTGGCGGCACCATCTGGGAACGTAATTAATGCTGAGTGTACTCTTTCAAAGGGCAGCATTTTCCCCTTATGCACATTTTACCACAATTTATTTAAAAATGAGGAGTTAAAGGGGTGCCTGGGTAGCTCGGGTGGTTAAGTGTCTGACTCTTGACTTTGGCTCAGGTCCCTGATCCTAGGGTCCTGCACGCATCCTGGTGTTGGCTTAGGATTCTCTCCCCCTTGATCCCCTCCCCACAAGATAAATAAAATCTAAAATTTAAAAGCATCCTGAGGTTTGGTCTCTGGACCCCTACCCCGCGCCTGTCCAACTTCGCTCTTACGG